AGAGGTTAGTGTTGGACTAGGATACGGGAGACCCAGGTTTGAATCCCCACTCGGCCATGAAAGCTGGCTGAGTAACCTTCGGCAGATCACTCTCTAAACCTAATCTGAGAGAGCCAGTTTGGTATAGTGGTTAAGTGCGCGGACTCTAATCTGGGAGAACCGGGTTTGATTCTCCACTCCTCCACCTGTACCTGCTGGATGACCTTGGGCACGCCATAGTTCTGGCACAGCTGTTCTTGAAAAAGAACAGTTTCTGTCAGAGTTCTCTCAGCCCCACCTACCTCAAGGGGGAGGGAAAGGAATTTGTAAACCGCTCTGAGACTCCTTTGGGTAGTGAAGGGCGGGGTATAAATCCAATCTCTTTTCTTCGTCTTCTACTTCACAGGATTGTTGTAAAAATAAAATGGAGAACAATGTAAGCTGCTTTGGATCCCCATTGGGGAGAAAGGTAGTATACAAATGAAGTAACTACAGTAACTGGGAAAGACTGAAGGTAACAGAGGAAGTGGACGGCAAAGGATGAGATGGTTAGAGTGTTACCGATGCAACGAACGTGAAATTGAGCAGACTCCGGAGGGCGGTGGAAGACAGGTGGGCCTGGCATGATGTGGTCCATGGGGTTGTGACTCACAAAGAGTCGGACTCGACTATGTGACTGAACAACAATAACAACACTAATATCTTTATATGTCCTTTTAAAACACTTTTTCTTTCTTTTCACAATGTATTCATATCATTATGATGCATTTAAAAGCTAACATTAATGGTAAGAAAGGTGGCATGGTACAGCCCAATCTTGGAAGTGAAGCAGGGTTGGTACTTGGGGGGGAGACCACCAAGAAAGCCTCTGCAGAGGACAGCGATGGACAACTACCTCTACTTAATCACTTGCCTTGAAAGCCCCTTACTGTGGTCACCATTAGTTCTGCTGCAGGTTGACGGCACTTTATACACACATATTTAAAGTATGTCAACATAAATGGATTATGTGTATACTCTTAAACTTTATTAATACTCTTGCAATGGGTTTATGTCACTGCTTAGGACAACCCTGTTAAGAGAGCAATCCTGTCTCTACTCAGCATCCTACTCAAACTTAGTCAGTGGCATTTATTGGCAGAAAAGTCATTAAAACTCTTCTGGCTACCAAGAGCTCAGCACAGAGGCTCTGGGCAGGAGGAGAAGCAGAACATGATTGGATGTCAGTGTAATGATTTCAAGTTACACATGTGTGTTTCTCTTAGTTTAAATGGTTGTAAGTGTCAGAAGAACAAGGGGGGTGAAAGAGGGAGATGATTGGTTGGTGACTGTGTGGGCGGAGCTAGGAAGTGTGTGTGTGGAGAGAGAAGGCAGAGTGTTCAGGAGCTGTCAGTTGTTGTCAATCTACAGAGTCTGAGGAGCCGTCTTCTCATCAGAATCATACAGAAGTGCTGTGAAAGGCATTAAGATTCCAAAGGAGGAAGAAAATATGCTTGAGGGGGCAATTTAGAAAAAAATCCAATACTGTCAGAGTAGTATAAGAGTGTGAGGGGGAAAAGCTGACAGAGACCTGAGTAAAAAGGGAAACATTTTACTGAGCAACTTAACAAAACATCTTGTCACCAATACGCTTCTTTTGCCAATAAAGTGTTATCTTGTTTCTGGTGAACCCAGAGTCTCATCCTCAAGGAAGAAGCCTTAGAGCCTGGTGGGCACAATACTGTGGGGGAAAGGTTAATGAAAGACTGGGAGTGAATGGTGGCCGCAAGAGATACTTTGAGTGAAAGAAACAAGGAGAAATTTAAAACTACACCACACCACACCCAGGGCCGGATTTAGACTTGCTGAGGCCCTAAGCTATACAAAATCCAGAGGCCCCCTACTGTTTTAAATTACATCAGCTGGTCTCAGAAAAAATTAAAATATATACGCCTTTTTAATATTTGAAAATATATTGTCTTTTGATTTTTATTAAAAAAAATTAAAGGATGTGTTTACAAAATCACAGAAATAATTACATAATTAAAGGGTTTTAAAATGACAAATAAGGCTTATAAGCCCCTCTGACTTCAGCTTTCCATCTCCTC